AGTGACCTTTTCACGGGCAAGCTTATTCGATTTCGAGCTTTCGAGCAGTTTTTTTCTGATTCCTTGAACTCGTTTCGAGTAGTCCTCGCTGATTGATAATGGTTCATTCTTTAACCTATTACAGTTACGTAGAATTTTTATCTTGTCTCTCAAGTCAAGTAGTTTGAGAATCACTGGACGAGTTTCACCTTCAGTTGGTTTTCCCAGGCGATGTATGCGTTCAATTCCATTGGTTTTTACGGAGAGTTTGTCCTCAAGGACCTCCTTTGTTACTCGCTCTTCGAGTTTGCTGCTGTCTTCGTTTGGCAGCTCAGAAAGACCGAAAATAATTAGATTATTTCTTCTACTGCGATTTTCTAAGTCATCAATCTTATACACGAGTGATGCAACAGTAGATTCGAGTTGTTTTGTCCTGTCTTGGTTTTGGTTCACAGCTGACCTCAGACCTTCAAGGCTTTTAATTTGCAACTCGATGGTCTCTAGTCTGGATTTTGTTTCCGCTTGGCTCAATTTGATTTCCCTGACGTCAGCGCAGATAATATCTAGTTTTTGCAATATTGTTTCTAGAGTAGGCCCGGGATTTACTTCTACATCACCACACAACAAAAGTAGGTTTTTCGGCAACATTCCAAATTCACACAGCACACTCAAACAGCTCCGTGGGCACGGTAGCAGGAAGGTTTAAAGTTCAGATTGTCCTGTCTGCGTCGTCCCTTTTGTGTCTCCACTTTTTAATGTTGAAAAAGTATCAACACGCTAAAATAGTACAATTTCCGGGATTTTATTTTCATTCCCCAAGTGTGATGCGGGAGCCGCGCCACGGAGCCCGGGTCGTTTCCGCTCTTTGTTATCGCTAGGATTTGACAGTGCTCAATCACAATGCAAGACACGCACAGAGCCACGCTCGATTTTGCAATGCGCCGCCTAATAATGATATCTCTTGTGGAAACGTGCGTACATCCGTCTTGCGCAGTGTTAGCTCAATGGCAGCACTTTCTGTAAAGGCGGATTCACACCGGGGATGTAAGCAGTCGCGCGATCCAACTAAATCGCATCGCAAAAAAAAAAAAAAAAAATAAATAAAAGTAATTAGTTGGTCAATTTGGCGTGCGCGATGAGCGAGTCCAACGCCTTCGTTGGCGAGTCGCTTCTCAAAAACTCTCGCTCCGAACGCCATTGGTTGGCTCGGCCTCTCCGCGACTAGAGTGCATCGTAAAGAGTCGGGTCAGCAAGCGACTGCTCAAAACCCGTCACTTTTTGCCCACGATGGTCGCTTTTGCGATGAAAGTTATGGCGCGACTAGATCGCATCGCCGGTGTGAACGCGCCATAATGTCGAACCAGTCTCACGGCGCGCCCCGATATTGGCTTGTGTACCTACGCGCGAGTGTAACCTCTGGCACAATTTATTTGCGTTTGCAAAGCCTGCTCCAGCCGCGTCAAAACATTCAGCCAACCTTTGGACTGCAGAAATCAAGAGACACCCAAAATAGGATAAAGTTGCCAGCCGAATAAAACTTGATTTCTATTTAATTAAGATAAAGACCACCCGCGTACATCAAATATTTCATCAGCCGAACTCCAAGGCAGTAAGCCTAGTTCTGGCACTTGGTTGGCAGCTTTGGCCCGCAGCTGCCAGATCACAGCCAAACTATCGGGAAGCGAAGCCTAACTTGGGCGCTGGTTTGGCGACTTGGGCCCAAAGATGCCAGATCTCAACCGAACTACGAGGTAGTAAGCCTAACTCTGGCACATTTGTGGCGATTTTGGCCCGAATGTGCCAGGTGACAGCCGAACTGTCAAAAAGTGAAGCCTAACTTTGGCATAAGTTTGGCGATTTTGGCCCGAAAATGCCAAAGCTCTGCCGAACTACAAGGTAGTAAGCCTAACTCTGGCACATCTCTGGCGATTTTGGCCCGAATGTGCCAGGTGACAGCCGAACTGTCAAAAAGTGAAGCCTAACTTTGGCATTAGTTTGGCGATTTTGGCCCAAAAATGCCAAAGATCTGCCAAACTACCGCGCAGTAAGCCTAAATCTGGCATTTTTTAGGCGATTTAGGCCCGAAGATGCCAGACGACAGCCGAACTACCCGGCAGCGAAGCCTAAGTTTGGCACTTGTTTGGCGAATTAGGGCCAAGATACCCAGACTGTTGCCAAGGGAGGTCAGGTTTGGCACTACTTTGGCTTTTTCGAGCTTTTTAATGCCCTAAACTGCCAGACGCAAGCCAAGTTTTGGCCCAGAACTCGGTGCTGCCTGGGTACGCTCATGTGCTTTTGCATCTGGGAAAAATAGAAACTAGAAGGGTCGAATTGACCCGACTTCCCAGGAGTTTACGAAATGATAATGATAACATTAATAAACACGCGAGCTGGTTTAAGCTAAGCCTAGTTAAAAATAAGAATCATTTGAGTCATCTCCTCTTTTATCTATTGATGAGAGGGTAATTGTGGCCAATTCCCAGCGTTGCTTAGCTTGCCAGCAATGGTTGTTGCTTTTGAATATTTTGTATTGCGATTCTTTCATGTTATGAGCAGGGATTGATAATATGAATGGCAAGTGGGACGGAAGTTGCGCTAACGAGCAGGAGTTTGAATGGAGCATAGGAAAGCAAAACAAAAACCATTTCTTTCATTTGTTGATTGTCTTCGTGCTATATGATTTGGAAAAAGGGGGAACCTTTATGGTTTTTTGTGACAAATAGTATTTGATTAGTATTTTTATCCTATGTATCAACGTACCAGTAGATTGTCGCCAAACTTGAAATCGCAAGACAAATAGATACCTTGAACAAAATGCGTCAATTGTAATAAAACAAAAATAAAAAAATTTTGCTTTAAACAAAAACGAAAACAAATGCGTATTTTAAGTTTCCTCCAAGTAAATTATTTATTAATAATCATTACTGTTTGGAAGTCCATAACACGCGCTTATAAAACAAATGTTTTAAATGAGGGCTGATCCAGCAATGAAATATGCTTTAAACTCTTCGTTTTTGCCTTTCGCTCCAACGAATTTAAATTATATTAACACATATTTGTTTTCCACCATAAGTGCATTTTTAGATTCGCTAAATAATGTAATACGAATATTTTTATATTGCATAATTTCTTCTTCGAGAGGCTACGTTAATTTTGACTACACACCGACTTCGTACCTAAGTTTATATACATATCTCCGGGAACGAAAAATATATACAAGATAAATTTCATAAACTCTATAAGCATGGACTTTATCCCGAGTGTAAAGTTTAAGAAACAAATTGGGGCTTAAAAATATCTTAACTCTTGACGCAACGCAAGAACTTAAAGTAACCTATATTGATACTTCTCGTGCCAAAAAAACAGTGCAGATAAAAAAAAGAAAAGCGTTACCGATCGTTGTTTTTATAAAGCACTTTGGTGGTACTCAAGTTTTATGGATCATATTTTCCTGTTTACAGCGGAAGTTCGGCCACGGAAGCAAGCGCAAGAGTTACTAGAGGCGTACATGTAGCAAATATCGACTCGAAGGCGTGTTGGGTGCCGTACACTTCGACCTATTAAGCTGAAGGATAAGAAAAAAAAAATCTCAAAGAAGTTTTGTTGGATGAGGTCATCGAAGTTTAGATAAATTTAAAGCAGGAGTTTACAAGTGAGCGAAGCACGCCAGAAAAGCTTGGTTTACATTGAATGAACCTCTCCAAGCGTGAATTCTTAAAACCAAGGGCTTTAACTCGATAGGTTGGTATTTTTCTCATTACGTCAGTCAAATATATTAGATTTACGTAACCATGTTCATTTATGCTAACGCCTCGGTTATATTAAATTATCGAGAATATTTCTTAGTCCGCATCAATCGGCAATTTCTGTGCAGTGGATGAGAATTGGTCAAAGAGCGACATAAAGCCACGAGTTTGAAAGTATTGAGCTTATACACTGTGCACATTTTGGAACTTGCATATTATTTTCTTAAATTCTTCGAATGCAGAGTGATGTACCGAAAATTGCGCTGTAGGCGACAGTAGATATTTAAGCTCGCGCTTTACCTTTTGCTATGAATACCCGTGAGCTTTTTTCTACCGTGTAAAGTGGCATAGTTTTCATTATTAAATATAAAACAAACTGTTGCACTTTTCAACCAAGCGCCAAATCATTTGAATGAAAATAACAAAATAAGGCAATTAAATCGAACTGGTAAGTACTTAAGAGCTCTTGGCATTAATTCATAGTTTGTATCTTATCCCCACAAAAATTCCATGGATGGCTTGGAGTTTGGCGTTCTAATAAAAGCCAGTAAACTAAAAGAAATTCTTTAAAAAACTGTTTTTCATTTTAGGTAACTAGCCTAATATGGCTATTTACTGCCATTTTTTGTATATCCTTTCTTTGGAAGTTATGGGAAAGATTTTATTTTACGGTCAGGACCATGCAGTTTAGCAAACGTTTACGTATACAGAAGATCAAATGACGGGTCCGAGAATCACACGAAATGTCACTGCAAACTATGTACACCTGCGAGCGTAAATAGATATTTACACTGAAAATAACCCGCCGATTAGATATTTTTTTAGCTCATAGATTAGCACGAAAAGAAAAGGTCAAGTAGACATTGGCTATTACAACACAGTCATGAATGCTACCTCGGCACCTAAACAGTAAATGCATAAGCAGTGTTATAATTGAAATTATAAGTACAACTCTTCAAAATGAGACTCATAATATAAAGTAGAAATATGTACTTTTTTGGAGCTCGTATTATTTAGAATTATAGTTTATTCGAGTGCGGACGCGAAGTTCTCGTAATTCAGATTTAAAGTGGACGTAGGGAAGGGAAGGACGCAGGCAGGAGTATTAACAAGTGAAAAATATCTCAAGAAAAAAAAAATTGATGCAGCGAGCGAACACTCGGCTCGAAATACGTGTACGATCTGCACAGTGCATACACTCAAAACTTCACTCCAGAGCAAATAAAAAAATAAGAAGTTAAACGCGTAAGCTCACAGGACGACACTGAGTCGCACCTAAGAGCGGCAGGACGTCTGACGTGACTGGCGTTTTGTCGCATATAATCAGCACGAAGACCATCAACGACAGAAGAATGATGACCCCTGCAAAAGCGGGTAACGGCTTTCCGTCAAATCACATGACTGCTCGTGCAACTTCGAAAAAAAAAAAAAAAGCGCTCGTCGTCTTTGTGCTTTTGCTATGACGGATTAAACGAGTCACGAACAGTGAACGCGCCGTGGTTTTTAGCTTTCTTTTGATTGGTTGAGCCGGTCGCAAGCACTAATCCCTGATTACTTTAGCCGGTCGTAAGCACTAATTCCTGATTAGTTTAGCCGGTCGCAAGCACTAATTCCTGATCAGTTTAGCTGGTCGCAAGCACTTATTCCTGATTGGTTCAACCGGTAGCAAGCACTAATTCTGATTGGTTTAGACGGTCACGAGAACTAAATCTTAATTGGTTTAGCGGGTCGCAAGCATTAATTCCTGATTGGTTTAGCCGGTCGCAAGTACTAATTCCTGCTTGGTTTAGCCGGTCACAAGCACTAATTCCTAATTGGTTCAGCCGGTCACAAGCGCAAATTCCTGATTGGTTTAGCCGGTCGCAAGCACTAATTCCTGATTGGTTTAGCCAGTCGCAAGCACTAATCCTGATATGTTTAGCCGATCACAAGCACTAATTCCTAATTGGTTCAGCCGGTCACAAGCGCAAATTCCTGATTGGTTTAGCCGGTCGCAAGCACTAATTCCTGATTGGTTTAGCCAGTCGCAAGCACTAATTCTGATATGTTTAGCCGGTCACAAGCACTAATTCCTAATTGGTTCAGCCGGTCACAAGCGCAAATTCCTGATTGGTTTAGCCGGTCGCAAGCACTAATTCCTGATTGGTTTAGCCAGTCGCAAGCACTAATTCTGATATGTTTAGCCGATCACAAGCACTAAATCTTAATTGGCTTAGCGGGTCGCAAGCACACAAAAACGACAAGCACCGTGACGGTGCATTTTCGACTCTGCTTGATTGGTTTCAACTGTTGGTATACCTTCGGCTGCTGTCGATTAGCTTGAAACGGAGTATAGACAGAAATTACTGTGGCGGTACATAATGTAGTAGAGCATTCTGCAGGATTAGAGGGACTGTCTCAATCGGCAGCACTCAAGTTATCTTCGTGTACGAAGTTTGTATGTTTAAAACAAGTTTTCTAACCCACTTTGCAAATTTAGGAACGGCCAAGTTTCTAGAAAACTGCACCGTGGCACAAAAGTATTCCTAAAGCAGAATTTCATTTTCCTTTGAGCCTAACCATAAATGGAACGTCCCCGCGGGAATTTTTTGGAGGTAGAATAGTCGGTCGCGTTGCACCTGCGCAAACTCTCACGGGAATCGAAGGGGCTCTCGGTGCCCCGCACGAGAGGGTTGCTACGTCTGAATTCGGCTGTTGTGTGTGTGTGTGTGTGTGTTTGTGTGTGTGTGTGTGTGCGTGTGTGCGTGTGTGCGTGTGCGTGTGTGTGTGTGTGTGTGTGTGTGTGTGTGTGTTTGTGTGTGTGTGTGTGTGTGTGTGTGTGGTACTGAACGAGATGTAGACATTGAACGATCTCCGTGGGAATGCTCTGACCTCAGAACAGCTATTTCTTGTTTCGGAATCGTTCACCGTATCAGGAACGTTATGATTATTTGTGTTGCCGCGTCGCATTTGATAAATTTCTCAGCGTTCGAAACAGGACATCTATATATATATATATATATATATATATATATAACGGGCATGGTGGTGGAAGGCCGAAGGCGTGTGTATATAACTGAGAAGAAAAAACTCTTGGTGAAAACAGCAACAACGGACGATTTTTTCTTCGACGTTTCGGCCGGAGTCCGGCCTTCGTCAGAAGGCCGGACACCGGCCGAAACGTCGAAGAATAAATCATCCGTTGTTGCTGTTTTCACCAAGGGTTTTTTCTTCTCAGTTATATATATATATATATATATATATATATATATATATATATATATATATATATATATATATATATATATATATATATATATATATATATATATATATATATAAGTGGAGTTTAAACTACGACGTGCCTAATGTAATATTCGGAACTTTTCCGCTGCGCCTATCGAGCTGCGCGATACCTTCCAAAGGAAACGAGTTGAAATCTCGAGCGACGTATTTTTAAATCGCCCAAAGTAAACCGTGACCTTTTAATACTGCTGAACGAGAAATCGAGACTAGATTGTTCCCCCCCGAAAAACCTGTCTTTCTAATAGTCCTCATTAATATACCATCTAAATACATCCTACGTCTATTTGGATGCGATTTCCAAAGTCCAGATCTGTTGGGTTCCCGTTGATCATAAAGAAGACTTGAGACGGATAATTAGCATCTACGATTTGAAATTACTCTTCTATTGTTTTGTCCTGCTCATGATTACATTTGTACCCTTTATTTCAAATAGGGTTGAATTTCGCGTCGGATGTATCGCTTGTTCATTGTTTCTGTTTACTCTAAGGGCGTTAGGTTTTTGACACCTGTGTACTCTTCAGTGAAGTGCGCACTCGGGAACCTATAAAAACTTACTGAATACAGCCAACTTAGGAATTCTAGCCGTTTGACAAAGATAAAAATAAGAACACAATGCATTTCTAAGGGAAAAGCATCCACAGCTACGCAGACATAAAATGGGCTTGTACAACGAAACGCTTCAAACATGAAGAACAAACACACACCGCCAACATCAAAACTCAAATGAGCCATGAAACAATCATGTCAAAAGTGAAGGCAGCCGGGTAGCACGGTGAGAGGACGAGCAGCGAACCCCGAGGAATGGTGGACGAGTCAGTCGGCGCATCTATAATGGACACGGCGTCCAATGTGGGAGGCATGGTCTCGGCAAGCTGCAGCAGGAACACCGTCAAGGACAGCAGAATGGTTATACCTGTGCGGGCGTTTGCGGGAGGACATATCGGGTGAGGAATGACGTCTATGATACGTACCTCACTATCGTCACCACTGAAAGGAATGTCGTGTTAGCACGCACAAAAAGCACAAACCTCACAGTTCACGACTAAGGAAATAGTACTGGAACCACTACCGTAAAATCACCAATAAGCGCCCACCCATGCTGAAAAAGAAAAAGGAAAAAGTATGAGGCAGGCAAGATTTCGAAAATGGGCGTTCGTTCGGGACCTTACGCTACTTGAACGATAACTATATGTTGAAATGAAATCTTTTCCCCCATCTGCATTTTAATTGCTTATTGTATAGACGGAAATTAGTACCTTCCGCAAGGAGCTTTGCCTTAAGTTTGCAAATCAGCGAAAAAAACTAAATATGTCGTAAATGCACCCCATGTAGCCTTTAAATTAGTTTAGGGCAGACGGAAGCCTACCAATGTTTTCGTTCCATACAATGTAGGCCTCTTTTGAGCTACTTTTTGACAGAGGCCATGACACTCAGACATTATACCGGGTGTTTAACCGAACATAGGTCAAATTATTGGTTGGTTGAAAACTACGCATTGTACAGAAATAAGATACGTGCCGTGAGGGTCAATGTCAACAAGGCTGTTTATTGAGGTGCAAAGTGTTTAGGATAATTAAGTTTATAATCATATTTGAAGGATTAGCTTCTTTTTTGTTACCGAAAATGAACATAGTGGTCGAATTAGAAACTTAGCAGAATCGTCGAAAGCTACGAAATCGGTCAATTTAGCAATATTTGTAGCGCCTGCCTTGTGTTTCTAGTTCTTGAAAATGCATTCAATTTTGACGCCCTAGCATGATTTTTTTGTTTCTCATCACCCGCACGTTCGGTTCGCCACCCTTGCTCCTGCAGCCCACACTGCGATTTTTCCTCACCACCACGCCTTCCTCGCGCTTCAAGTATTTCTAAAATTGTCTGATTAAGTCGTTTCCGGTGACACTGAGCAAGTTTCTAATTCGAGCCGTAGGTTGATATTTACTAACCAAAAAAAAAGGGTGAGTATACAGTGATAATTAAAAATTTCATTTGTTTGAAAGTCTATGCACCACACTAAACAGTGACGAATAAAGCACCGATCGTTTTTTTCTTCTCAGCGCAGTTTTCGTGGGAAAAGTATGACCGATGGTCGTAAAACATACGGTAAAATAAAGGTGAAAAAAAAAAAATAGAATGTAACTTTTCTCGGAAATATTTTTCCTTGTCAGCGTGCCATTAAATATATTTACATGGAGAGTGTTAAACCCTAAGTTTTATGTTTAACAACTGATGATGTCAAAGTGCTCTTCGGTGTCTCCATGCGCTGCTGTTAATTTCTCTGGGAAGTTTTTAAAATTTCGATGGTATGTTATACACATGATTGTGATATTTTTGCTTTTTATAAAAGTAAAAATTAAAATGAAGTTATCACAGAATTTTTTTTTTAATTTTAATCTAGCTTGAGTTGACTGTAATGGTTATAACGGCATTTAGACATCGCTCGTGCCAACACTTATAACACCTTTCTTGAGGATCTTGAGATATTGAGGAAGTAAAACTAAAAAATCCGTACAGCCTACTTTCTGCGGCTACTTTTTTCAAATAAACAGGGGCGTTCTGCGGTTTGACGCCTATAATACGCGTTGTTTGAGACTATCGCGACAATGTCACCACCACGGGAACGCCGAAATTTTGTTTTCACCCTCTTTTAATTTCGTCTTTTCCGAATCTTACTCATTAAAATTTTAGCTCGTCACGGATCCTGTATCTTGCAGACGAGGGAACGAAAGGTAGTAATAGGAGTGGCGTGATAATTGGTGACGAAACACGAGAATTATTCTAGGGATTAAAAGCACCCGAAACGCGATACGTGCCCCGGAAGGCCATTAAATTAACAAAAGCTGCGCGTTACGACCGCGCCCATTAGCGGATATTTTTTAAATCATGTATTAATGGCATCCTTAGCCTCCTCATAAAAAAAAAACACCTTATGACTCAGCCGAATCCTGGACATCCGCCCTCAATGATGTGCCTTTTTAAGCGGATCATCAATATTTTTATAGATTTGATGCACGAAAAAGAAAATAACGATAATAGAACGGGGCATTTTCATCGAAGAGACAGAACCCGTCGATATTATAACCCGTAGTACCACTTGTCCACACCTGGATAGGAAAAAAAAATATTTAGTCACTGACAGCTTATAAAAGAAGAAGGGAGCGGTTTCTTATGTTAATCACGCTTCTTGCTTTGTGATTGGTCCGTCGGCGTTCTTATTGGGTATAATGCTGCAATCCCATTGGCTGCGAAGTGATATTGAGATGCATGGGGCTCGTTACTCTTTATTTTTGTGAGTTTGCTATCACAGATCAAATCAATTACGTGCAGTAAAAACCGCATGACCCTACAGGTTTTTTCCTTTGAGCGTGATTGGTAGGCCAACGTCGCCATGATGGCGCACTTTTGGCGCTACCTGATTAGCTCTCTCGGATGCTGCACTCTAAAAAAAAAGTCTGTTGTCTACTTTCACGCACAACACTCCGAGAGCCAACCAGCTCAACTTACGGAGGCAGGTCAGCGAATGACGATGCCGAAACATATGTTTAGACCAAAAAAAGCAGTCTGAGTTGTGACATTAAGCAACGCAGGCGTGACGTTTTGCATTGCTTAATGTCACAACCCACTGTTTTTTTGGTCTAAACATATGTTTCGGCATCGTCATTCGCAGAGCTGCCTCCGTAAGTTGATGTGATAGGCTCTCCGAGTGTTATGCGTGAAAGTAGACGCACAGACTTTTTTTGAGTGTAGCATTTGGCTGCGGCCGGTCTCTTAGTTGAAACGGAATATAAAGACTATAGATATACCTTCGTAAGCATCTCGATCTAGAATCCTACTCTGTTCTCTTTGTTCGGACCTTCATCGTTGGGAGTTTAGCTGCGTGACTTCCAACTCGTTGGTCAGTTTACACGGAATTGCGGAGGAACTCTCTTTTTTTGTGTGTGGCAACAAAAAAACGCCTTGAGCGGTTTATACTCAAGTGCAGCGGCTCCGCCATTCGACGTTTCTCCGAAACCTCCTAGCCCTCCGAAATCCACGAGTCAGGTGAACGAGAGAGTGGTCGATAAACGGAGCTCTGCCGGATCACCTCTCTGCCTTCTTTGTGTGATCTTGGGTTCATTTAGCTTTATAGAAAAAGCCAGGTCTTTTCGTTGCCTGCTCCACTCCTTTTTTACGATTTCTCCCAGTTCGGACCGACCAGCTGTTGCTACTCTTTTGGGATCGGCCGACAGATTTGGAGACTTGGTCAAGACTTGATGGCCTTTCGATGTTTGCCGTCAAGCCTTTGTCAGTTGCTGTTTTCTTCTAAGTTTTATTTTTTTCTTGTCTATTTTTGGTCCTAGGCTTTGTTAGAGTGACTTTGCGATTGCTCCGACGTGTTGTTGCCCAGATAGATGAATGTTTAGAGTCATCGACATTGATATTGAAGTCTGATAAAAAGAAAGACAACGTTTTAAGGTATGTCGTGGGTTATAATCTCACGCTTGAAATTTAATGCTAACTCGTTGGAGTTGTAGCTTGTGGCTGACAGACTTCTCCACGTTACATTTAATATGTATGTATTAAATGAAAAAAAAATAAAAGAAACTCATATAAATTCTTGTTGGTCAACCGCAATCCCAGAGCACACAATGCGCTCCTCGATAACAAAGCAGAGAAACTAAAGTGTTGTTTGTTTGGAGAACGCGAGGTCGGTCTGTGCATGTATGACGACAATGGTCCACGCTGTAGGAAATACAATTAGCCAGTGCAGTACGACTGCTAGTCTGGAGTCTTCGGCGTGTACTCATGCATTAGTGATCGGAGCACCGCACGCCGGAACGATTCTCATTAAGATTTAAACGGACAGGGGTAGTGATTGATCTCAAGATGCCTTGGTCCTGCAGTGCGAGTTTTCGCTCCAAGTACAGCAATCTGCGGTGCGAATACGTTCAGGAACTAAGCTCCCAGATACTATTTTTTACGATGCTCAGATGTTTTATTAGGCGAAAATACAACAATTGAACACAAGAAATCTGCACAATACAATCTAAAGGAAAACAAAAAGGGTACATGTAGCAAAAAGCTTAAAATGTTACGTCGCCAAAATAACAAAGCGACTGACCAAGGTGCCTGTAGATTCTTGTTCCTCTGACCGTAGCGTTCTGTCGTGTACTGTGACGTCGCGTTATCAATTATATAATTATGTCTTTATAATTTGTTTCGTATCAGCAGTTCTTAGAGTACCACATTTTAACGTAATAATCTAGGTCTTTGAATGTTCCCCTGGAAAGGCTTGGAATCCGGATAGAGCTACAGTTTCTTCTAGTCTCAGTTGCAAGCCTCGTCTTTTATTGTAATCATTTGTTTCCCTGCGTTCAGGGGTATTGAACTGCGTCGCGATTTCTATGCTTTTGTGGGCTAAGGTATCGACGTAATTTTTTTTTTGCACATCACGAAACATTAAAGTCGCAAAGTCAGGATACAAAAAATAAATAAAAAAACATCCCTTTTGAAAAAAAAAAGAAAGGTGAATACGCAACGCGCGTTGTTTCTCCACCAGTTCAAGTCAACTCTAAGCACAAGATATCGAACGCGTTGGTGAGGATCCCCCGAGTGCGGAATGTATTCAGGAAATTGAAAATGCATCTTTACTCGCCTGGCGCTTTTTCGCTTAGCTTCGTTACACTTCACGTCTCTTTCGAGCGTTTGTATTGAAGACATGAAAGCTTCGCGCCCGTCTTTACTTTTATGCTGCACATTGTGACCTAAAGGGGCGCTGACGGGGAGTGGGCTGGAGCACTTGGTTTTAACGGATCCTGACTTGCTTTGTATGCACGCGGAACTGTGTTGTTTTAAGCTATATGTATTTGCCGCGCTGTTTGCCTATCGATGCTTTAAAAGGTTCAGCTTTGGTCGTGGATTGGCGAAAGGCTTTCTGGAGCAAGAAAGTTTTTTGAGCGCGCGTGGTTTTGATGTGAGCACAAAAGCGCTTTCTCTTTATTTTAATTTAAAGTCTCCTCCTTGTTTTTTTTTTTTTTTTTTCTTAGCTGGAAGTTTCGCGGTTTCATTTTATCCTTACTAAGAACGGATCATTTGCTTTTTTTTATTTTTATGTGAAATAATGTTTTCATTTAAAGCACGTTGAAATCACAAACGATTCTTGAGGCAAAAAAATAATAATAATGTGGCCGGAAAGTATTGCAGCTCTGTAGCTTCATTTGGTCGCTGGTTTCTCTAATCATATCTGATTTTATTGGGGACTTAGAATTCATACGTTTTCAATTTAAGTTCTTGCGATCGCTGGCTGAACTTTGTTTGAAAGAGCAGTAAAAGACATTCGAAGAGCAGTTCAATTTGGTCGAAAAACTTATACCTCCAAGGCATATTGCTTGGCAGACAAATGTGAAATTTTATATGAGTAGTGTGAGCCTAATTTACATTTTTATATCTTACACTGGGAGATTGTGAAAAAAGGCTCAGGCCGAAGGCTGTTCTGGGAATAATCGATTTTTCTGATGAAATGTGGTCAGTATTGTTAGTTGATCATATGTAAGTGCCAGTCCATACACAAACATAAAGGTTGACTTCACATTAGCAATTTCGTATAAAAGAGAGCTTCGGTCCAAGAAACAGAAGCCTTAAAAATGATTGCGCTCCTTTGATCTCCCGGATAAGAGCTCCGGTATGCAGAATGTATTGCCGATATACTATACGCAGATCTGTGCAGTATGGCAACCTAACATCACTGTGTGAAGTGGTGGCGTCACGTGAAGTTACGTTACGTAACCTGACGTAACGCACCCTTGTAGCGTGACGTGACATCACTCCATGACTTCGCAGCCCACGGTTACTGCATGTAATAACGCTGCTGACACTGCGACGTCTTGTGATGTTCCTTGGAGGGTGCAGATTGGCCGCTGCTGTTTCTTTAAGGAATCTAAAGAAACGCTGGCTGGAAGAACCAGATATCCGAAGGCTTTTTTTACCACCCTTTTACACTAACTAACTGAAATTCTTTTTTTTACAATAATCTTATTTTTGCGTTTTTGTCAAGGAGACATTAATCCAGTACCCATTTATATTTTACCTTCCGTATATTTTGCTGTTTATGATTATATTCACAGTTGCCTTGGCGAAAATCTGAGGAGCTTAACCGTCAGTGAACCGGGAAACCAGTCGACAACGACGAATTTCCGCTCCCACCAAAAGTAGGGGAGCAAGGCAAAGTGGGATCTTACCCAGGGTGAGCCTCTCTCCAGTGTCGGGAGGCAGGGTGAACCCGAGGAGGGTCATGGAGGAGATGAGCACGCAGGGGATGATGAGATTGAAGCCGTAGTACAGAGTCCGCCTCCGGATGTGTATCGTGTACGAGATGTCGATGTACGGCTCCGGACAGCAGGCATACTCTTTCTCGTTACGGATACCCGGCACGGCTGCGGCGTCACGCCAAGGGCCCCCAGGGTGCAGTCGCCAAGGGAGGGGAAGAAAGGGAAGAGGCGAAGAGCCGGGAAAAAAAAGGAAGAGAAACACAATCACGAACACGAGCCAAGGGGCCCTTCAAAGGGGAGTGCAATTGGCAGGTTGTTCTCATTGACTCAAGTCGCAGTTCGTTAGTGCCGGAACAGAGTGAGATGGGGGCACCTCTTTATGCTTCTTCTTTATAGCTCGGGTTGAGAAATGGCATGCTCCTCTGCAGGTGCTCGGTTAGGCAGGAAATACAAGGCAGTGCCCTCCACCCCTTCCTTTCTGCTCAATAAAAATGCAGAAGCTTTTATCAGGTTGTAATCAACGGTGCTGAACGCGGTAATAAGAACAATTTGGGCGAGTAATATTAATTTGGGTGTGATTGTGACTTTGCCATTATGATTTTGTATCCAGCCCTTGGGGGGGGGGGGGGGGGGGGGGTGTACAGTCTCGTGAACAAAGTATATAGCTTAAATGCGAACCCTCTTATATCTTAAAACGCCTTCCAGTCGCTCACTGTGATAAACTTATTCAGACTTTTAGCCAATGTTGGGAAGTGCGTGAAGTACGTTGCACTTAAAGTAATATTTTAATTACGCTTAGAAAAAGAAAACTTGTACTTTTCTTAAAGTCCAACTTCCGAGTATACACTTGTACTTTAATTCAAGTATGTTTACGGTGCTTTTTTTAGGGAAGTACAACTACCGACTTCAAAGCACATTTCCAAACCTTTGCATTGTTTTTGAATCACAACATGATGCTTTGTGAACAGGTAAGTGCCTTACAAGTTTATTGAGTCCAACTGTTCGTCAACGAGAGTAAAACATCTACACTGTGGCTACTTGATGTTATCTAATATTCGCCATTTCCAAAAGTGACTGATTCACTCCCGATTAACCGATGTAGGAATGCATACCCGTTTAAAAACAATGCACAGTAAAATGAATGGGCATCATAAAATAATAGTGGTAACAAGCTTACTGTTTTAAGTATCCATTTGGCGGGCAAAAATATAGGAAGAGAACTAAACACGGATTGTGCAAAAAGTACTTGTAGTTTGCTTTGAAAACACATTGCATATATATTACTTCACCTAAAGTACATTGTGCCCGGTGTACTTACTACATTAATTGATGTACATAACTTCACATTAACTTCGTACTTTAATTCAAGTACTTTTTAGGTACTTTCCCGAACACACGTCGGATGCGGATATTGTGCTTAGAGGAGATATTGTTTGAATAGAGTGAGCTGGAGGTAGAACTAGATCTCCGTGTTTTGGGACAAATCTGAAAAAAAAAAAAAAACAGAAAAAACTTTTCCCGGTAACTTTTCTGTCAGTTCGAATTTACCCAAAACGCTCTGAATTTTGAGACCACAAGAATAAACAAATAAAAAAAAGACGATGTTTTATAAACACAGTTCATAAGAGCACCGGGTCACAGGTCCTGAGGTCATGCCACTTAAGTTTTCTTTGAAATCTATAACTGTTAGCAAAGGGGTGTGCCTGCTAGCATGTCAAGACAGCGGGTCATAGTACCCGGATTTTATTTTACTATTTTATTTTAAATATAACAACACACTAGAATAAGCGACTAATTTTAAGAAATTGGAAATCCAGCAAAAACCAGCTTCGATAACCCCACAATTTCACCGAAAAATAAATACACACCAAAAAAAAAAGAAAAAAAAATCACACACACACTCCGAATTTCACGACAAATGAACTCCGAAAACACGGAATCCTAAATGCAACCCACTTATCTTGACTCATCGTCAAATGCGATGGAAAAAATATCTGAGCTCTTTTGAGTTATACACAGAGATAAAATAAAATGAAAGAAAGCTTTGTTTCACAACTTATCTCGAGGTAATTTTTCGAAATATTCTAGTATTTGTTAGACTGATATTTTTTTATAATTTGTCGCACTGTAGGTAACAAACTACGGGGTGCTGCCACCTTACGGAAGTGCTTCTCTTCGCTCGTGTCGCCCTCCTCTTTCTCAAGCAAAATTTATTTAGGCTGAGTAAAACTTATAAAGAATGTCAACATTTGAGTGCCCAGTGTTCTTCTTTTAATTTTTACAGACGTATTTTGTTAGTGGCAGGAGTGCACGAACTTCAGCCGCATCAGCAGGGCCAGTTTGCTAGAACAGCGTCTCAGCCAAGACTGGGTGAAGAAAGCAATGCAAAGGATGGGGTGCGCCAGCGTCTTGAGACGCGTTTTGAGTCCCGCTCAGCCCGTGCGCTGGTTTGGCAGTGCTTTCTTTCCCCGCGTCTCAGCTGAGACGCTCTATCTAGCAAGCCGGCACAGGGGACACAAAACATTTTTTTTAATCCATGTTTGCAGTTTTTTTATTAAAATACGTTTGTGCATTTCCCCACAAATTCTTCCAGTTAAAACATGCTAACTCAAAATAGTATTATATGTTTCCCACCTGCTAGTAAAATTCGTGTGGAACCTTTATTTAGTGCCATTACTCGCTAGAACCAACCACATTCGCACACTTACTCTAAAAGAGATTTGGTTTCCGTTATGTTTCAACGGCAATGACCCAGGAGCACACCGTGGCCAGGAGATATGTCGATGATATAATTCGTGAAATGCGTTCTTAACGATGGTTACAATCAGATAATCAGGTAGCCCTATCAGACGGCAGATTTTCTCCATTGATGTGCCTAGTCATGCAGGCATTCTAATAAAAAACTAATGAGACATTATCACAACCGGTGTGCTAAACGGCCTGACTCCCTAAAGGTATTACTAGTGTTGCTTTTTTTTTTTTTTGCTACCATGAAACTCGGTACCGGATGATTTGCTCACGACGACTGCATCTAATTGTCCCGCGAACAAACAATGAAAAATTTTCCCGCACAAAATGTCGAAATACGCTTCCCTAATTTTGGACCTTCCGAGGCAAGGCAATCTGAAACGTTCCAAACCGTCACCATAAATGGCCTAATCTGGTCACAATTACGATTTGGAAGGTAATATGGCGAGCAAGTTTCCCTCCCCCTTGTTCAGAGTTAAGCGGAGAGAAAGTTCTTCTGCTTCTTTTGCAGGGGTTGTGGTGACGTCAGAACACCAAGCTCAGATTGGCTCTGATTGAAGGATAGTGGGTAGACCTCAAAGCAAGGTGCCTTGAGGTCTACCCACTGTCTTTCAATCCGAGGGAATTTAGAGCTCGTCGACGCACTGACGTCACCACAAACCCTGCAAAAAAAAAGCAGACGAACGTGTGCTCCGCATTGTAATTCATGGCACCGAGCTTCAATTGGAGAAAATTGGTAGGTCGACAGAAAGGCTTTCTCCTGTATCCAAACATTGTATCCTCCAATCTGAGCGGGAAAAAAAAGTGTTTTCTCCTTGTGCGGAGAATACAGTGGCGAGTTCCGTCGTCGAATGCTGAATCACTGGCAGTTAAAAAGCAAACAAAAAACGCATGGGATAGCATGTTTTATGCCTTTTATAATCACTCCGAATTCAGTAAGCTCGTTAGCTTATAAAAAAAGCGCGAACATAACGAGTTCCTCCTTGAGTTTATTAAGTTCTCAGTGACAATAGTTGTATAAATGGCTGCTTTGCCTTTTTTGCGGCTTTCAGAAACCTATCGTTTTTTGTTTTTTTTTTGTTACTGACCAGGACTTGACTTTTGAGAGAGGGGAGTTTAAGATAGATTAAAGGGTACATTATTACTGTCAACTAACAAGTAACATATGCGCTGCGACGAGGGAGAGAAAAACCTCGGCCGAATTGTTATTGAGTATCATTCAATGAAAAAGAATATATCTTTCCAGGCGGAACTTTGTCGTCGCCCCCGTGATCCCTCCTTCTCATCTTTCAGCGGCGCAATATGTCTGGTGAGGAGACAGATACCTAGCATTTTCGGACTCCCATTGTCCTCCGCAAAGGGACACGTCTTAATTAATCTTCTTGATTATTCATCAAATCTGAAATAGGAGGCTCTTAAGCAAACCTTCAAACAATTAAAAAGAAAGAAAGAAAGAAAGAAAACTTATTATTCTTTTTGATTGCGTGAATCCTCTGAATTGACTTGAGCTTATCTACTTGCCACGAGTGGCGAATCATGACTGCAAACAAAATATTTCGCAACCTCAACACCAAGGGTACATAATTATCGTACAAATAAAAAATAAGAAACGATAGGAAAGAGACCGCTCTCCGGAGCTTGTTTGATATTGCACGCACAGATCGGCGGCATGGGCACGCCTGTTTCAGCCGTGGCAGCCAAAGTTTCTGGAAGGCTGGGAGCGCCGGTTCATCGATTTCAGATCGTCCGTGTAAGTAATTATATTTATATTAATTGCGCTGATGTTCGCTTATACTGCAACTAAAACTAACATATTTTTTTACGTAAATGCGCCACGTTGGTGGGCCGATATTTTTGACAGAACTTCAAACCTTTGTCGATCTTTGTTGCCTCAGTTTACTTATTCAACTCGAATTTCTCCCACAGAAGACGAGACCGCGTGAAAGAATGTACTTCTAGACTCCGCTTCACTACAATTCAATACGCAGCGAAGGTAGCGAGCGAACACGCGGCTGCAAGAACATCGAGCATTGCGAAAGCACTCCCGCCGTTGCAGCAGTCAGACTACGAGCTCGCGCTGACTACTTTCTTCGCTCGGGCGAAGCAGCGCTTCTGGCCGGCGCCATTTGCAGCGTTCGAGCGTTCTCAAATTTGCGCGCCTGCTTTCCGAGGCTACAAACATCCCAGGCAGCACAAAATTTTGGCCCGACACTGGCCAATGCCTGATTTTTGCTGGGCACCTGCCTGGCCAGCCCGGCCACTGGAAAGCAGCTGGCCAAAGGTCCCCAAAAGATCACTATTAAGTCCCCGGCCACAGAGTCTTAGTTTTTCCATTGGCAACCAATCACCGAATTATGTTCGGGAAGGGCTTGGCCACCAAGTCTTTGTTTCCTCCCTGGTCACCCGCCTCAAAAACGTG